CGTTTTTTTACGAAGAAAAAACGGTTTTCAAAACTGCTCTTAAACCGCTTATATTTTGCCAAAAATTTAACTTGGGTCATGATACTGGTGTCCATAGCTTTCCAACGGTATATCGCAAGCCCCATTTGGACACCTTTTAGCTGAAGTTCAACCTAGTACTCAGGGAAGGTCAGGCGCGTTACTCGGGAAGTTCATGTTGTGATCAGAATATATATATATATATATATATATATATATATATATAGAGAGAGAGAGAGAGAGAGAGAGATCCAATCTTGGAGGGGCTCCCGCCCCTCCACCGCCATGGAGGCCACGGACCAGAGGGGAAACCCTCCTCCCATCTAGGGGGAGGCCAAGGAAGAAGAATAAGGAGGGGGCTCTCTCCCCCCTCTCTCCCGGTGGCGCCAGAACGTCGTCGGGGCCATCATCGTGATGGCGATCTACACCAACAACGTTGCCGCCATCATCACCAAATCTCTCCCCCTCTATGCAGCGGTGTAACATCTCTTCTCCCCATTATAATCTCTACTTAAACATGGTGCTAAACACTACATATTATTTCCCAATGATGTATGGCTATCCTATGATGTTTGAGTAGATCCGATTTGTCCTATGGGTTGATTGATGATCATGATTAGTTTGAGTTGTATGTTTTATTATTGGTGCTGTCCCGTGGTGCTCTTCGTGTCGCGCAAGCGTGGGTCGTCGCTGTAGGGTTTGCAATATGCTCATGATTTGCTTATGGTAGGTGGCGTGAGTGACAGAAGCACAAACCCGAGTAAGTAGGTTGTTTGTGTATGGGAGTAAAGAGGACTTGATACTTTAATGTTATGGTTGGGTTTTACCTTAATGATCTTTAGTAGTTATAGATGTTTGCTAGAGTTCCAACATAAGTGCATATGATCCAAGAAGAGAAAGTATGTTAGCTTATGCCTCTCCCTAATATAAAATTGCAATAATGATTATCGGTCTAGTTATCGATTGCCTAGGGACAAATAACTTTCTTGTGAAAAAGCTCGCTACTAAAACTAACTTAGTTGTTTCTTTATATAAACAACCCCTAGTTTTTATTTACATGCTCTTCATTATCTTGCAAACCTATCCTACAACACCTTCAAAGTACTTCTAGTTTCATACTTGTTCTATGTAAAGCGAACGTAAAGCGTGCGTAGAGTTGTATCAGTGGTCGAGAGAACTTGAGAGAATATTTGTTCTACCTTTAGCTCCTCGTTGGGTTCGACACTCTTACTTATCGAAAGAGGCTACAATGGTCCCCTATACTTGTGGGTTATCACCACCCACGCGAGCTTAATGCTACCCTCGTCGGAGGCTGTTGAGGCCTCAGGGTCATGGACCGCCAGATGATGCCTCGGGAGGAGAGCGACCCCTCCGGAGGGCGTAGGCTTGACTGGGGGCTGCTCTAGCGCTCCGGAGGATGGCGACGAGAACTCCTTCGCCTCTCCCCCTGACTGGGACCTAAGAAATGGAGGCTCGGGAGGACTCAACGAGCAGAGACCAGGAAAAGAGAAAGGCTTACTCATCCATGGTGATCCATTTCCTCTTCTTCATGGCTCGCGGGGATGCAGCCGACGTGCTTCCCCCTCTTCCGACGAGTGCGGAGACCGGAAGTCGACCCACCGGAGCTCGGCATGAGGCCCCCACGCTTGGGGCGGCAGGCGTGCCCTTGGGAGGGGCATCTTCCTCGCCAACCGGAGCCACACGGGCGGATTGATGTTGAGCTGGCGCCCCGGCAAGTCCCTCCGCGGTTGCACCAGGGGTTTCGACCTCGGGGCCCCCGGTACTAGGTGCCACCAGGAGGGGGTTGTCGCAAGGCCCAATGTGGCCTTTGGGGAGTGGCCCCCACTCATCGAAGCGCGGCATCGCCCTAGCAAAGGCTCCCGTTCGCATAATTATACAGGGGAAGGCCCTTCTGAGGGAGCGCGGCGACCACTCCGCCGGTCAGGAGGCGGAGTATCCCGCGCAGCGTGACAGAGGGTAGGGAAGGTTTCTGAAGCCTCATGACGTCCTCAGGGCCGGTGAAGGCCTGCATCAGGCGAGAATGGCGCTAGAGAGGAGCAATCTGCCGCCGCACGAACTCCCTCACCACCAATGCCATCGTCACGCCCGCCTTCCTCAGGTCAGCCAGCCTGGCCATAACTCGCGCAAGCCGCGGGTCGACGAGCTTCACGTGCTCTTAACCGGAGCTCGGCTCTACTGGGCCATCGGAATCAGGAGCAGGGGCTGCATGCGGTGGCGTCGACATACACCCATTGCCTTCGGAACCCTCCCATGTTCGGACAGAGTTCGGCGTCGATGCACATGCCCGCAGTCGCGTTCACCGCATGGAGCGAGACACACCCCGAGCGCTGTCCGCTGTCAACCATCTGAAGGGAGAAGAAGTGGCGAAGCCCACGAAGGCCTCGCACAAGAATGCAAAGGCAGAGAGGAGTACGATGGATCCAGGGTCGAGATGCAGTGCATGGACCTAGTAGTGCGTGAGTACGGCATTGAAGAAATCAGAGAACAGTGGCAGCAAGCCAGAGATGAGGGTGTGGAGGTGAAGAGGGATGTCGGTGGCCTCCAGATCAACTAAGGGCCGAGAGGCGGGCTAGATCTGTGTCACCTTCCACTCATTGGAGTCGGCGGTGATCACCAGTCGGACCTTGTCCAGCCCTTCGAAATTGACCACGGTGGACCGACCTAGCGCGGGCTCTGGCCCCAACCGAGGTTCCACTGTCATTGAGGCTCTGCCCCTCTTCTTCTTGGGAGCCATAGCGGCGGGGCGGGTTGCAGCGGGCGCAAGATCAAGCGAGGAGAGGTACAGGCATGAAGAGGAAGGAAGGAGCACAAGTCCGACACACGATGGGACTGTGATGGCCCCATAGCGTGCTCTAGGCTTATTGTCAGCCAGGGCAGTTGCCGAGGCAACATGGGGAAGTGGAGGCGCCCTCGTCCCGTCGTGTGCCACATGCTAAGTGTTGCCCGTAGGTGATTGGGGGGCCGCAGTGCTTCAGCCTACTCTCCTTGGCTTCACCTTGAAGCTAGCCCGAGCACGCCTTGGGCCCATAGGCTACTGTCGACGTTCTGGGACCGGGGGTACCCAGATCTGCATGCCTGCGGCCCATGGCGTGGCTCCCTCGTCGGCCTGGTATAGCCCAGCTGCAAGGCCCCCCAAGTCAAGACCATCACGAGGGCCACGGCCTCGCAAGGAGAGCGATGCCAAGACCTCCCGAGGGGCAGCTCTCCGAGCCTTCCTCCTGAGGAGCAGAGGTTTCTATGCAGGGCTCTAGCCTCACGAGGCTCTCGGTGACGCAAGCCAAGACGAGCAAGGTCAGGTGGGTGCCAGTGGGCGCAGAGGAGACAGTTTCCCTATCGGTGCTAAGGGAGCAAGGACGGGTGCAGGTTCCCGAGGAAGGCCCCAAAGCTGCCCATTTCGGTGCAACGAGCCCAAGACCACGAGCTCGGCAGGACGGATGTAATCGCCGAGCCCACCGCTGCGTCATGGCCAGAAGCTTTGCAGGCGAAGACCACCTTCTGTCAGGATAGGATGTACTTTTTGTCCCATTTTCAAATTGACCGTTGTGGGATCCCTTCCCGCCTAAGTTGAGAGGGAAGAGGACCAAGGCCACTATAAGTATAGACTAGCCACCACCGTAGAAGGGACCCCGATCTGACCCCGCCCCGATTCATACGCACCACATGAGCCCTCGCGAGGCTGCTCATCCACTGTACTAGTTCATCCTCAGCCTCCTCATGAGGCCAATCCACCACAAAGCAGGAGTAGGATTTTACACCGCAAGGTGGCCCGAACCTGGGTAAACTGCTGTGTTCGTCTTCTCCCCCGCTTACGCGAACTCGACGAAGCTAGGCTGTGGGGCAGCGAGCTTGAGGCTTGAGTTGGTTGAGATCTTCACACACGCCCCAGAGTTCGAACCTTCTTGGGTCTGCAGAGCCCTGAATCCGACAACCTTCTCTCCCAGGCGGGTTATGAACCGGCTTGAGGCCGCAATATGACCCGCCAAGCGCTGGACGTCATTAACACACGCCCGCTTAGGAAGTGAAGTGATGGCCTTTATCTTCTCCGGGTTAGCTTCAATGTCCCGTTCTGAGACCAGAAAATCTAGCAATTTACCTGCAAGCACACTAAAAACACACTTGGCCGGGTTAAGCGCCATCTTGTAGACCCGGAGATTATCAAAAGTTTCCTTCAACTCATCAAGTAGCGAGGGCGTCGAAGGTGCCGGTAACATAGATGCCACATACGCAAAAATGGTGATGTGGCAAAGAGTTAATAAGAAAAGAGACAAATAAAGTAACATAATATGTTATCATCACATAGCGCTTTCCAATACAAATTAAGTCTACAAAGTAATAATTGAAGACATCTATATTACCACGCCTATGAAGTTAATAACATACACAAGTAACATGTCCATATTACTAGTAGTCTAAATTACTCTTCACTATGACTAGCCTAATATGGAATGGAGGAAGTACTTAGTTCTTGTGGGTCCATTTCCGTGAGATTGCGTGCGTTTGAATATCTGCATAGTGGACTGAAATTTCTTGACTCAAATGAGCAATCAGGTCTCTCTCAAACTTATCCACTATTATCGGATGGTTAAAAGAGAGGTTGCCCTAGGTTTCATATCTAACGGCCTCCAATCAAACGCCCAAAAGGGAGGGGAGGGGGGAAATGACAAGGCCGAAGGGAAGAATGGAAACCGCCGTGGCGCCTCCTCCCATTCCCTCCTTCCTATCCAGCCATCAAGGCCAGGAGGAGCTCGCGCCTCACCTCTCGCATGCCGCGCCCCTGCGCTCCCGCTCCCTTCCATTTCCGTCCCCAAATAAACGAAACAAAATTAGCGCATTCCCCATCCTCCTCCGCCGCCGCCGGAGGACGGCTGGAACCGGAGACCAAGAAAGATCGACAATTCCGCTCGCCATTGCTCCGTTGACCGACCGGTGATCAGGAGGGGGCGGGGCCGCCGCGGCACAGGATGGATGACCTGAAGGCGATCTTGGCGCGGCCGATCCAGGTCGCGGAGCAGGTGATCAAGTGGGCGGAGGAGGCCCAGACGTGCCGGCAGGAGTGCCTGGAGCTCAAGACCAAGGTCGAGCGCCTCGCCTCCCTCCTCCGCCAGGCCGCGCGCGCCGACCTCTACGAGCGTCCCGCCCGCCGCATTCTCGACGACACCGGCAAGGCGCTCGACAAGGCCGCCGCCCTACTCGACCGCTGCCGCGCTCGCGGCATCGTCCACCGCGTCTTCACCATCATCCCCGCTGGCTCCTTCAAGAGGACGTCCAACCAGCTCGACAACTCCCTCGGCGACCTCTCTTGGATCCTCCGCGTGTCCAACTACGCCAACGCTGGCGATGACCTGGATGACCACATTGGCTTGCCCCCCATTGCCCAGAACGAGCCCATACTCTTCCTCATCTGGGAGCAGATCGCCGTGCTCTACACCGGCACATTCGACGCCCGCGCTGACGCCGCGGCTAGCGTTGTCTCTCTCGCGCGCGACAATGACCGCTACGGCAGACTCATCATCGAAGAGGACGGCGTCCCGCCTCTGCTGCGCCTCATAAAGGAGGGCCGCCCCGAGGGCCAGGAGAACGCCGCGCTCGCCATCGGCCTCCTCGGCCGCGACCCGGAGTGCGTCGAGCTCATGGTGCTCGCCGGCGTCTGCACCGCCTTCTCCAAGATTCTCAAGGACGCGCCCATGAAGGTGCAGGGTATGGTGGCGTGGGCCGTGTCCGAGCTCGCCACCAACCACCCCAAATGCCAGGACGCGTTCATGCAGAGCAACGTGATCCGCCTGCTGGTGTCCCACCTCGCCTTTGAGACGGTGCAGGAGCACTCCAAGTACGCCGTCGCGTCCAGGATGAGCCTACACTCCGTTGTCATGGACAAGAAGGGCAGCGGCAAATACTCGTCCCATCAGGACACATTTGATGCGGCGGAGCACACCGCGGCCAACAGCTTGTCGGCGAAGCCCACAGTCGGTGGTAGCGCCGCTGCCGGTAGTAACGCCGCTGTCGGTGGTAACGCCGCTGCCGCCGCTGCCGCCGCTGCCACCGCCGCCGGTGGCACCAGCTCAAGTGGCGTGACGGCAGCTGCGGCTGCGAGCATTGGCAGCGTTGCGGGGACGAAGCAGCACAATGTGTCCTTGTCGGGGACGAGCACGCGAGGGAAAGAATACGAGGACGAAGAGACCAAAGCCTACATGAAATCCAACGCAGCCAGAGCGCTGTGCCAGCTAGCCATGGGCAATGCCGCCGTGTGCAAGAACATCACGGAGTCCAGGGCGCTGCTCTGTTTCTCCATCCTCCTGGAGAAAGGCGCCCCAGACGTGCAGTACAACTCGGCCCTGGCGCTCATGGAGATCTGCCGTGTGGCGGAGCAGAACGCGGACCTCCGGCGGTCGGCGTTCAAGCCGACGTCCCCCGCGGCGCGCGCCGTGGTGGAGCAGCTCCTCCGCGTGGTCACCAAGGCGGAGTACGACGATCTCCTCATCCCCTGCATCATGTCGCTGGGCTGCCTGTCGAGAACCTTCCGGGCGACGGAGACCCGGATCATCGGGCCGCTGGTGAACCTCCTCGACGAGCGGGAAGCCGACGTGTCCCGGGAGGCTGCCGTGGCGCTGACCAAGTTCGCCTGCACGGACAACTACCTCCACGTGGACCACTCCAAGGCCATCATCAACGCCAGCGGCGCCAAGCACCTGGTCCAGCTGGTCTACTTCGGGGAGCAGGTGGTGCAGGTGGCGGCGCTCCTCCTGGTGTGCTACATCGCGCACAACGTCCCCGACAGCGAGGACCTCGCGCAGGCGGAGATCCTCACCGTGCTGGAGTGGGCGTCCAAGCAGGCGTACATGGTGCAGGACACGTTGATCGAGAACTTGTTGCCGGAGGCCAAGATCAGGATGGAGCTCTACCAATCCAGAGGGGCAAAAGGTTACCATTAACGTACGTCAAATTGATCGATCCACGTGCACCCACCGGTTTTGTTGCAGATCCGAGAGGCTGGCATGGCATGCATGTACGTAGGAAGAACACACAAGCTGACTTCTTCACATCTGCCTAGCAATGTGTATATACATCTCAGGTGCTTTTGCGTATACTTTGCTTGACCCTTTTGATCCCAACATAGGTTGCAAAATGGTTTGTATCAATCCGTGTGATTAACATCTTTTGGTTGGGGATAGGGCCTTGACACTGGAGGCGGTTAATTTTATCGTGGACATGAGAAGGTTGTGTAGGGTCTGATGATGTTCCTTCTTAACTTGTAACTTGTACCTTTCTTGGTGGTATAGCCATTTCTTCTTATTCGGAGTGTAGCATCTTGTACTCTCATTTCACCCTAATGGTCGGTGTATATTAGTATTCACTTAATTACGAGAAGGAACATGTCAAGTTTAAATCTTCAGTATCATCTCTGCATATCTATGTATGATTCTCTCTTGTCAATGTCTATTCATGACAAAACAGTTCAATTTTGCACCTGGTTTTTTAGACGAAAGCCACGAACAACGCCAGGCTTTATAAATTACTAAAGCCGCACCAATAAGGCCAATTAGCTACAAAGCTCACTGATTACAAAACAAAGCGAACACCACAATGAAATTACTCCTTTAAGAGCATCTCTAACAAACCCCTTATCGCGCAGACCCTTAAAATCGTTATGTGGGCCAAGAAAGCGTGTTTTAAGGGACAATTTAGCTGCGGCAAAATAAACCCCTTATAATCAACCCTAAAAAAGAATATTCTTTAAATATACCCGCCACCTCGCCTCCCTCGATGCACCGCCGCCCTCGCCACCAATCCTCCCTTGACGCGCCGCCGCCCCACTGTGCCTCTCTCGACAAGTAGACTGACTCCTGTCTGCATCTACTACTATCAGTCCACACATCGACCGCTATCCAGAATGCATCTAGAGTATTAAGTTCATAAATAATGAAGTAACGCCTTAATCAAAATGACATGGTGTAGACAATATACTCTCAAGCAATATTAATAAACCCCATAGTTTTACCCTTAATGGCAACAATACAAATACGTATATTGTCCCCTTTTTTCACTGGGTTATAGATCACTGCAAGATTAAACCCATTACAAATCACCTCTCCCATTGCAAGAAAAATCAATCTAGTCGGCCAAACCAAATCAATAGATCAGAGAGAAATACAAAGCTATAATAATCATGCATAAAAGAGTTCACATAAGACTCAAATAATATTCATAGATAATCCGATCACTGTAAGTGCATCTAGTGCCCCTTAGTGATTTTGGTGTATTGACGACTTATAGGTTAAGGGACTAATGTGTTTGTGAGTGTACACAAGTCCATAAGTCTATGAGGAGTTTGATATGTTCAGAGAAAGTCGACCTCTAAAAATGAAGTTCTTCGACTGAAGACTTTGGATTTCTGAAGACTTTGAAAGTGAAGAAATTGGTGTGACCTTAAAGACCCGGTATTCATGTGAGGAACATGAAGCGTGAAGACTTTTGTTTTTATAGTTTCATTTTCTCTTTCTCAAGTCTTAGGAAACACCGTACTATTAAAGGGGGTCGAGTAAATACTCAGGAAAAATTTCCATGTGATGCTCAACTCAAAATCCTACACCTATCAATCCCTTCGAGTGAAGTCATTGGAAATCTCATACAGTTCAGTCATATTCTTCAGTGACAGAGACGAAGTTCTTCTGTTCCCTGAGGAATTTGTTCTGACTGGGGAGTTAGGAATTCGCCAGTGCGGATTGCTTACATAGTGAGGAACATGATAGCCCTGAGAATTTTGCTACTCAAAATTCCGACCGTTGCTGTGCTATGCGCCAGCTGTCCCAAAATATCTACCCACCTAACGGTCATATCATTGAAGGGCATTTATGTCTTATCATGTCGGGCTGCTCCCTAGGCTATAAATAGCCGCCCCCTACAACCACTAGCTGGTTGGCTGCTCTGAGAGAAACTGACACTTGTCATTTGAGAGCATCCCATCCTCCGAGGAATTTGAGCGAAAATCATCAAGTGAGGAAAACCAAAACCCAAACCCAAACACCTACAAACCCAAAGTGATTGAGCATCACTGAAGAGATTGATCCTGCGTGGATCCGATGCTTGTTACCTTTGAAGACTGTGCTTCTTCCAGACGGTTAGGCATCAAGGTCTAGAGCATCCAAGAGGAATTGTGGATTGCCGAGTGACCAAGTTTGTGAAGGTTCGGAAGTCACCTGAAGACTTACCACGAGTGATTGGGCGAGGTCTGTGTGACCTTAGCTCAAGGAGAATATGGTGAGGACTGTGTGTCCGAGACTGTGTGTCCTCAGGTTTAAATACCTAGCCGCTCCAACCCGACGTACAACTGAGACAGCAGTTGGAACTGGTCTACCAAATCATTGTCTTCACCAAGCTCACTGGTTCTATTTCCTCCACTCTTTCATTTCCTCATAACTGTGTTGAGTGCTTGTTCATATCTGTGTTTGAAGACTTTGGCTGAAGATTTTCTCAAATTCCTCAGTTCAATTACTTCAGTCTGTTTGTCTTCATCATGTGTTATCCTATGCTTACGCTTCCTGTACTCTGTGCTTGTCTTCATTTCATCATGATGACTATGCTTGTGTTCTGTTATGTTTACTTTTGAGTACTTATTCCGCTGCTAGTAGTTCTTCGCTAAGGAATTTCCTCACCTGCAAATTCCTCAGTGAAGAATTCATAAAAATCGCCTATTCACCCCCCCTCTAGTCGATATAACGCACTTTCAATTGGTATCAGAGCAAGGTACTCCCTTGTTCTGTGTGATTTTGGTTTAACCACCTAGAGTTTTAGTTATGTCGACTGCAGGTATGATCAAGGTCTCTGCTGGGTGTCCTACCTTCGATGGGACGGACTACCCCTAGTGGAAGAATAAGATGCGAATGCATCTTGAGGCAATAGATAATGATCTCTGGTATGTTGTGGAAAATGGTGTTCCCTCAGTCACACCTTCTGTGAATGCTGCTGATGTGAAGAGATTCAAGCAACTCGATTCTCAAGCGAAGAATATCATATGTGGCCATCTAAGCAAAGGACAGTATGGAAGAGTGAGTGCTTTGGAAAGTGCTAAGCTTATCTGGGATAGGCTGTCCAAGGTGAATGAAGGAGTCTCAACACAGCGTGACTCTCGAGTCGATGTTCTTCGCAATCTCTTCAACCGCTTCAAAAGACTCGACAATGAAAATGTTCAACAAACCTTCGATCGCCTCACTGACATCTCAAATGAGCTTCAAGCACTTGGTGCCACTGACATCACCGACCATGAGGTGGTGAAGAAATTGCTGAGATCGCTTGATTCCTAATTTGACACTCTGGCATTGATGATATAAGAACATGCTGATTACAAGTCACTTGTTCCCGCTGATATCCTCGAGAGGCTAAATACTCATGAGTTTCAGCTTCCGGAAAAAAGAGAGATCTCTATGGTTCGAGTTATGGCAGATCACGTGCACTGAAGGCCAAGGCAGTATCTGAGTCCAAAGATGAAGACTCTGGTAGTAGCCTTGGTGATCCTAAAGAACTAAGCCATGAGCTAGGACTGCTCGTGAAGAAATTCCAGAAGTTCTCAAGACATGGTCGCTTTGGAAGACCCTCAAGGAGCAATGATTCCTCATCCAGTGACTACAAGAAGAGGCTTTGTCACAAATGCAAGAAACATGGACATTACATTCAAGATTGTCCTCAGTGGGAAAAGGAATCAAAGAAGAAGAAATACAAGGATTACAATTCTGATGATGCGAAGAAAAAGAAGAAATCCTCAAAATCTTCATCATCAAAATCCTCAAAGTCTTCATCTAACAAGAAGAGCAGCTCCAAGAAGGCTAGGGCATTCATTGGCAAGGAAATGGACTCTAAGGATGAATCTGAAGAAAATGAGGAAGAGGAGGCATCTGAGGAGTCCGAATCCGGTGTGGCGAGCCTAGCCCTCGCTACTGCATTCGTCAGCAAGTCTATCTTCAACACTGAAGAAAATGACCTCACCAACAAGGATGATGAAGGCAATGATGACTACGATCCCACCTATTGCTTCATGGCAAAGGGTGCCAAGGTACTCAAATATACCTCCTCTGAATCAAGTGAGAATGAATCTGATGAAAACCTCAAGCCCAGCTATTCTAAACTTGCTAAGATTGCTGTAAAACAACAAAGGGCTTTTGAAAAGGTTCAAAACATGCTAGACAAAAGTGATGATATGTTGGGTGAAGAAATGGATCGCACTAAAGCCTTGACTAAAAATCTTCAGAGACTTCAGACTAGGTTTGACAACCTTCAAGGTCATCATAACACTCTCTTATCTGATCATGAGAAGCTTTCTTATGAATTTCTTCAAAGAAAGCAAGATCTTGAGAAGCTAAGAGTGAGTTATGAAGATCTTTAGAAGGAGCGCGATTCATTACATGCTCAATAAATCAGTGCTTCTCAAGAAGTATTTGTTCCTCCATGCTTGAAGTGCACTGAACGTGAATCTGCTAATTCTTCACCTGAATGTTCAAATACTGTTAATGTTTCAAATTCTTCATCTGCCTATGCTATCACTAGTTCCTCATCTGAGGACATTGCTAGTATCACTGACGATGTAGGGCTGAAGGAATTGTACATGACAGACATGTACAAAAGCCTCAAAGGGCATCAGACTCTTTGTGATGTGCTTAAAAAGCAGATCCTCAACAGGAACCCTAGGAAAGAGGGTATTGCCTTTGAGAGGAAACTCAATGCTGATGGTACATATTGGAAGCCTGAGCAGTACCCCAAAACCTCATGGGTTGCTGCAAAGGGACCTCCAGTTGATCCATCTAACTTATCTCGATTTGCATGTGAACCTCCTCATTCTGATGATGAGTCATTTGACTCCAACTATAAACTGTTCAAAAATCAGAATGGTGAAGTATTTGCTAGATATGTTGGCACTAACTGCAGGAACGATTCTCCTATG